ACTAAGATCTAAATATTAAAACAGAAACACTAAACCTGCTGAAAGATAGATTAAGTAGAACTCTTAAAGACATTGGCATAGACTTTATAAATAAAACCTCAGTCACATGGGAACTAGTACAAAGAACCAACAACTGGGATCTCATTTTTATTAAAAAGCTTTTGCACAGCAAGAGAAACCACCAGCAGAATGAAGAGACAACCCACAATGTGGAGGAAAAGTTTTACCAGCTGTTCCTCAGAAAAAGGTCTACTATCTAGAATATATAAAGAACTTTAAAAAAAAAATCAGGCCTCCCACATTTAAATACCCAATCCAAGAATAGGCATCTGAAATTAACAGACGTGCTAGAGGTACTGTGGAGACAAAGGAACCCTTCTCCACTGTTAGTGGGAGTGGAGAATGGTGCAACCACTGGAAATGAGTATGGAGATTGCTCAAAACACTGGGATGAGGACCGGGGATTTAGCTCAGTGGTACCACTGCCTGCCTCAAAAGCACAAAGACCCAAGTTTGATCCCAGATACTGAAAAAAAAAAAAAAAATGGGGATTAGAGGTCCCATTTGACCCAGCTACTCCCCTCCTGGAAATTTTCCCGAAATAATTAAAAGTATTATACCACAGAGATATATGCACACCCATGTTTATAGTGGCACAGTTGTAATAAGTAAATCTTGGAAACAGCCCATCCAAATGCCCATCAACTGTTGACTGGGTAAAGAAGATGTAGTTTTTTGTTTGTTTGTTTGTTTTTTAATGGAGTACTACTCAGCCATAAAGAATGAGAAACTAGAGACATTTACAGCTAAATGGATGCACATTGAGGCCATACTCTTAAGTGAAATAAATAGGACACACGTGTAAATACTGAATGATTTCTTAATGAGTTTTTGAATATATTATGTAAAGCTGCCTGTGTGTCTCTTTAACCCTGTCCCTGGATCCCTAAGTAGTTTAGTTTTGAATTCCATTTAGAGATTTTTGTCATAGGTTTCATATAAATGTATTGGTACTGCCTGAGTGAAGCAGCGCTCCACTCGTGAACTTCCATTAGCCCCCCTTGGCAGTAATTTCATGGTTTAGTGAGGGAAAGAAAAATTGTTGAGGGCCGGGGATGTTGCTCAGCAGTACAGCACCTGCCAGCAAGCGTAGGCCCTGGGTTCAATTCCTGGTAACAAAAAAGAAAAGTGGAAAAAAAAAAAAAAGACCCCCCCCCCCCGTTGAATACCTATGTGTGGATAGGTTCATCATTCAGACTGGAATAGCAAGTGGACAGAACTGCTTTTCACTCTGTGGCTCCTGCCATTATTGCTGGTGTACCATTCACCAACAAAATGTTTATAGCTACCATTTGTACACTGCAGCTGCCCTAAACAAAAATACCAAGTTTATAAGAAATAATATTTCACAATTTTGAAGGTTAAGACAAGATCAAAGCACAAAAAACTTAAATGTCAAGTAAAGTATAGATGGTGTCTTCTAGCTGTGTCCTCACGTGGCCAGAAGGATTTTGGTCAATTATGTGTGAATGTACCACATTATTAAGGATTCTGACTTCATGACTTTATTCATTCCCTGTGTCTCCACCATCTCATCCCATCATATTGGGGAGTAGGATTTAACACATGAAATTTGGAAAAGCTTAGTCATTGGCAGCACAAATCAATTATATGAGGATATACTGTATATTAACACATGAAATTTGGAAAAGCTTAGTCATTGGCAGCACAAATCAATTACATGAGGATATACTGTATAATGAGCAGTGTTAGGGCTTGTTTATGTCTTAACGTTTTTCCAGGCAATATACTGACTTATAATCCACACTGAGAATTTATAGGGGTTAGAAACTTAACTATTGTGTTTATAGTTTAGAAAAATAATGAATCTTTTAGTTCTCTTGGAAAGATACCCAGCAGAGGGATGGCTGGGTCAAATGGAACCTCCAGTCCAAGCTTTTTGAGGTATCTCCATATTGATTTCCATAGTGGTTGCACTAGTCTGCACTCCCACCAACAATGGAGAAGGGTTCCTTTCTCCCCACAACCCCGCCAACATTTGTTATTGTGTGATTTCTTGATAGCAGCCATTCTTTGTGGGGTGAGGTGGAATCTCAGTGTTGTTTTCATCTGCATCTCTCGAATGACCAGTGATGTGGAACATTTTTTCAAATATTTTCTTGCTGCTTTTACTTCTTTGTCTGAGAAATGTCTGTTCATTTCGGATGCCCATTTTTGAATCGGGTCTTTATATTTGGGGGGACTGATTGTTTTGAGTTCTTTATATATCCTTGATAATGAAACTCTATTATGAAAATAATGAGATGTAAATATCCAAAAAGAAAATACAAATTTGACCTCTCTAGCTCTTCTATATAGTCATTACCTCCTTGCATTGTGTGTATTTTTAATACTAGAATTAATCTTGCAACCACATAAAGTTGAAAGCCTGTATAGAGTTCCCAGTATCACACAGCTGGAGATGAGACAAAAGGCATATATGTGTCTTTAGCTAGAGTACTAGATCTATGCCTTTGCTGTCTACTCCAGCTGGGAGATTTATATTTCTTAATTTATCGTGCCTCCTTAATGGTTGTCTCTGTCAGTGAATTCTACCTCCTCAGAGAGACAAAATCCTAGAGCACTCACCAAGAGTGGTGTCCAAAGAGTCCTGTCCAGTTGCACTGGCTTTGGAGCTTCTGGGACATAAAGGAACACAGGTGAAAAGGCAAGAGCATATAGACAAGAAATACCTTTGAAACGTTACCACCACTATAGCAATGGGAAGCTCAAATAATTTTGAATATGTGCAAATTTAAGTTGTATATTATAATGTGCCAACATTATCAGGGATATTTGAATGTTTTACTTAAGGTTTTTCTAGGATTATCTTTGTGGATAATCATTGTGGGCTCTTTGTAGTGTACACCTATGTGTAATTAATATATAATGCAAGAGGCCTCTACCAGTTTGCATGAATATTGAGAAACCATTTACCCACGATCTTCAGCAATATGTTTGATTTAGCATAAGTTCATAGCCAGTATAGAATTTGTTATGCCTATTGTGAAAATAGAATCTAAAGGAAAATAAAGTTCTGGGGTAGATCCAGAAAAAATGTTTAGTGTCAGTGTAATTATCCTGAACTATGGTGAGTGGCCAAATTTGGAACTCATGTGGGATGTCATATTTATAGTGTGAAATACTGCACTCGAGGATATAAATGAACAGATTTTACCCAAAATGCTTCTTACAGTCAATATGTAGTCTTTCTACACTTACATGTTTTTTCACTGCAAGAAACATCATCTGTTGCTTAAAAATTTCATTGAATTCTTACACTTATCTCAAGTTAATATTTGAGTTTACAAATACAATCTTGCTATTCTGTTAGAACTCTTTTATATCTTATACTAGTCAAATTTGGGTTCCAGTGTTACCTATTTTTGCCCAATGTGGCTACAAATTCACATTCTCACAATCTACCCTTGTGTTCTTTTTTTTTTTTTTCCTAATTACTTGGTATGAATCACAGGACTCAGGAAAACACTTAACTTGTATGTCTTACTTGCTTTTCTCTCATTGCTGAGACAAAATACTTGACACCCAGACTTAAAGAGGGAAAGATTTATTTAGTTCACAGTTTGTTGAGGTTTCAGTCCATAATTGCCTGGCTCCAAAGCAGAGTGGCATAGCAGATGGGTATCACAGAGGAGAAATACTTTGTGGCAGGCAGAAGGTGGCAAAACAAGCAAGAGACATTAACAGTGTCTTTCTGCCCTTTTAATCTTATCCAGACTACTTAGAGCAGGTAGCACTCACACCCTTAATCCTAGTGCCCTGGAGTCTAGCACCAGTATCATACACTCTAGATCCAGCCACCTCTGAAAACACCCCACTGTGACTGCATGAGGCTTTGGGAGGACATCTAAACGCAAGCCATAATGTTTCTCTTTCCAAGAGGTTCATGGCAATATATGACACAAGGATATCTCACTATACTGGGACTTGCATACCTCATCTGGAGACTCCAAAATCCTTGTGTTGCCATATGTTGACCATAAAATTTGATCACTTCGTCATTTGGGCATGTTCATATAAGATTGTGTTGTATTCCCATAATTTCCTCTCTGTCTTTGATGATTAACTCAGTATCAGCTCTCCAATTCACACAGCTCCAGTGGAAGGACTTAGTATTTCAGCCAACTGCATAATTACAAACAAAATTATTTTCTAAAATGTCACCTTCATAGCATTACTCATTTTTTCTGGATTTCAAATAATATGCTATCTTGGAACTATGTGAGTTCCCCACCCACTAACAATATTGTTAGCCTACAAAGTACAGAATTTTCACTTTGAAAAATTTCAAGAGTCCTAGAAGCTCATGCCCCTCTTTCTCCTTATGCCATCTTAAAAATTTTTATATCTCTGTGACAGGTGACCATTTCTTGTCATTGAACTATAAAACAATATGTTTTTATCAATCTGATTTCATTCTTCTTAAACATTCTACTGTAAACATTGTTTTCATTGACATTTTTAATTATCATTCATTAATTTTACTTAGTGTCCAATTAAGGCTTTGTCTAAGAAATTAGGTTCACATTTTGAAATGCTGTCTAGATAGAATCAGATAAAGAAGGGATCAATTCTCTAAAATATAAGTGAGAAAGGGTATTTTTCTATGATCTGTCAGCAATTCATTAGATATTCATTTACCCATTTGTTTTACTTGGATGATTATCTTCTATAAACCAAGCTTTAGAGACAGCATAGAAATAAAATTAGGGTTAACCAGCAGAAGAAAAGTGTTTTCATTCTGCTATTGCTTTAGCAATAAATTCCAAAGTAGCATCAAAATTTTTGTGACATGTGCATATGGCTAGAGGATATGACTAAGTTATGAAGAGATGACGAAGATATGAAGTAAACTTTTGGAGGACTCAGCCTCATGTTGTGAATCTCACTCTTCTGAAAGTATATTTCTCATGATTTAGGAAGCAGTAACTTTTGAGGATGTGGCTGTGAACTTCACCATGGAGGAGTGGGCTTTGCTTGATCCATCCCAGAAGAAGCTCTATAGAGATGTGATGTGGGAAAACTTTAGGAATGTGGCTGCTATAGGTAAAGAATAAATCACTTTTTCATTTATGCAATCAGAGAACACTGGTTATTGTGTGTCAGTGCAGTTTCCTTAATTGGAATATGGAAACTTTTTTTAAAAAATAAGGAAACATTTTGAAGAATCTCCCAGGCTTGGTCACATTGTACCATAAATCTGATGAATCTATTAAACTTTATGTAATGTAGTAACTCATGATTACATTTCTGTTTCTACACTTTAGAAAGAAACTGGGATGATCAGCAAATTAAAGATGAATGCAAAACTTGCAGGAGAAGTGGAAGGTAATTTGCACTCAAAGAACAATAGTGTTCCTTACCTTGATATGAGGAGACATTCTAAAGCCAAGCATACTGCACAAGTGAAGCCATGTTCATATTTCTTTTTTTTTCTTTTTTTTCTTTTGTTGTTAGCCCATTAATAGAAGCATGGCCTCTTTTTTTTTTTTTTTTTTTTTTT